ATTTCCTCTGCCTTAACAAAAAAAAAGGAATACTTCCTGTATCTCATATAACGAACTTCACACTTTGTGGTTTTACGATCTCTAAATTAACATCTATTTCTAAATAACACTAAAAAGAGAGAGAGAGAGAAAGAGAGAGAGAGATCATTCTCAATTAAGAAATTCAATATGTCTCATATTTTCCCATTAATACGATCTTACGATATCACTATATGCAGCATTTATTGCCAAATATTTATTTATTATACAATTAACAAAGTTTAAAGACTCGCCTCAAACTTTTCAACATACAATTTCACAAAATTTTTTTTGCAACAACTACACGCATGATTAAATAATGAATTTTCCACTAAATAGTATTTACTCCAAGAGCAATGAATTTATGGTGGAACCAACATATAGCGTTTATTAGTCTAGAAACTTCGCTATCTCATATTAGGAGCTTATCTTATTATAGACGAACTTACCCTATACATATATATTTGTTTATCTATGTAATGAAAATGTAATCTATGTAATGTAAATACTTCTATTACAATAAATATGAATATTTTTACTAAAATAATTATAGCACTTTTTTAAATTTTTAATTATTAAAAGTAAAAAATTAGTAAAAGTTTACGTTAGGGGAGCCACCTCCGATGACCTTGATCTCGACATATGTTATAGAAGTCATCCTCCTGAATAACCTCTTCCAAAAGATTTTAGGCGTCGCTCGTTGTTTGCTAAAAAGATATTAACGAAAAAATTTGCATAAAATGAATATAATTTTTGAACACCGTATATACAAACGAATCATCGAACTTGTTTGAAGGAGCGCGCGTGTAGGCGAGCAGCGCGCGCGCGCGCGCGCGCGTGTGTGTGTGTGTAAGTACATGCGTACGACTGACACCTTCCTAGCTTACAAAATCGATGTATTTGTATATATCGGGTCCAAAAATGTACATTCCATTTATGGAATTTCTTTTCTTAGTAACTTTTTAACAAATAATGAGCGACGCTCAAAAATCTTTTGAATGTTACTCAAGAGAGTGTCCTTGATAATATATGTAACAGACAAGGTCATCGGAAGTGGCTTCCCTAATGTAAACTTTTACCCAACTTGCAGAAACGTTGAATGTTACTCAAGTAATCATTTCCAAGCATTTAAAAACCATGGGAAAGGTATATAAAGAAGGAAGATGGGTGCAGATGGGAATATGAATTGAAAGAAAGAGATATTGAAAGGCGAAAAACCATCTCCAAAATGCTGCTTGCCAACAGAAGAAAAAGAAAGGGATTTTTGCATCGAATTGTGACTGGCGATGAAAAGTGGATCTATTTCGATAACCTCAGACGCCGAAAAATCATTTGCGACCGAAGCCAACCATCGACATCGATACCAAAACGTAATATTCATGGGAAGAAGGCCATGATCTGTATTTAGTGGGACCAAGGGTGTTGTATTAGGGTGGTCCTTATTTACTCTTTGTCAAAATTTTTTTTTGAATTTTTTTCCGCGGCACCTTCCAAAAAGTTTTCATTTGACAAAAAAGAAATATCTGCCAAACTTTTGCTCGATCGGATAACAAGAACCCATGCCCCCGGATCGTTAAACATTAAAATACCTTTGTATTAAGTTGTCTGCGTTATCAATATGGTTTTTAAAGCGTGTTTTCCACAAAAATAGAGGACTTTTCTTTTTTTTCTACATTGTTTGAGATCTTATAGTCTTATTTCCACAATTAGATAAATTATAGATGACTAAAAAATAAAAATAAATAGTTATAGTATTTATTGTTTGAGCTACAATAAATCATGTATGAACTACAAAAGTTGCAATATTATATTTGGAGGACAATATAAATGTAAAACATACCTTTCATATAATACCTTTCATATTTTTATTAATAAAGGAATTTTTTAAATTAAATATTACATAATAATTAATAATCTCGTGGCTCCTAATTTTATGCTAAGAGGGGACAATAGATGTACAGTCTGTTTGATAAAAGCGCGTACGGCAAAACTTAATAAATAATTTATTAAAATAACTTGGAATAAAATACACACATTATACTTGATTAGAGAACTGTGATGTTTTATTAATAATTTGTTCAGTCGCCTTAATAATTGCCTGGCATCTCCGAGGCATACTTTCAACTAATTTTATAGCATATTCTTAAAGTAAAGATCTCCATATCAATTGAATTTGTCGTACTAATTCCTTGACCGATCAAATTTTCTTTCCACGAAGTTTAAACTTCATCAAGGACCAAACGTTTTCGATAGGATTTGTATCCGGTGACTGTGACGGCCAATCCAGTAATTCAACGTTATTTTCTTATTTCCACGCGGTACAAAGCCGACTTTGATGTTTAGGATCATTGTCCTCTTGTAGTATCCATTTTTCGTTTTTCCTTATAAACCATTTTTAGCAGTTTTTGAATAGATAGTAATAAAGCCTTCTCATAAATTTTGACCATTTTGCTAGCATTTAAGTGGTTTGTGAAGATATGCAAGGTGCCAATCCTTGCGTAGAGTCACGTTTCGGTAAGTCATCGACATTTTTCACCTCTAAGTAGCGATTTACAAATGCTTCTGACTTTTTCATGTACTTAGCAGCCGCTTCCCTTATAGAAATATCATACTAAGAATCATTGATAATTACTTATTATCCAGTATTTTTAATACTGAAAATAAGTAATTATCAATGATTCTTAGTATAATATTTCTATAAGGGTTGGCGTGACATTTTTGGTCCTTTCGGATGTGTACAAAGAAATATGGCTTCGCGATGTATATTTGGCACTCATGGCGAAATATATATTTTTATCACGAAAATCGAATAACAACTAAAGTTTTATCAACAAAGCATTTTAGGCGAAAAGTGAATTTTCCGGCTCCTGTTTGAATTTTCCCTCTACCCGTTTATATGTAAAAGTTTTGCCGGACACGCTCTTATCAAACAAACTGTATAATACCTAAGCTGCGGATTTGTAACGTTTCCCATTGTCTGAACGCATCAAACAATATAAAGAAATGGCATTCTTTCGGTAAAATGTCTGTTTCTTTCTAACGAAGCCTACTTTATTCCCGCCACAAGACCACGATAAGGGAATAAAACAGCCTTTGTTAGAGAAAGACAGACTTTTTACCGAAAGAATGCTATTTCTTTGTATTGTTTGACGTGTATAGACAATGGGAAAACCCGCGGTCTAGGTATTATACATCTATGGTCCCCTCCCAGTATAAGATTACGAGCCACGAGGTTATTAATTATTATGTAATATTTAATTTAAAGAATTTTTTTATTAATAATAACATAAAAGGTATCATGTTTTACACTTATATTGTCCTCCAAACATACTATTTATAGTCACTTTATAGCAACTTTTATAGTTTTTTTATAGTCCATACATGATTTGTTGTAGTTTAAACAATAAATGTAAAAACTATTTATTTTTATTTTCTAGTCATAAACAATTTATCTAATTGTTTAAATGAAACTATAAGATCTCTAACGATGTAGAAAGAAAACAGGAAAGTTCTCTAGAGCGATTTTTGTGAAGAACACGCTTTAGAAAGCCTATTGATAACGTAGACAGCTTAATATAAGAATATTCCATGTTTAACGACTCGGGGGCACGGGTTCTCGTTATCCGATCGAGCAAAAGTTTGGCAGAGATTTCTTTTTTGTCAAATGGAAACTTTTTGGAGGGTGCCGTAGAAAAAATTTGAAAGTCGAAAAATAAGGACCACCCTAGTGTGATATATTATGAGATACCTGATCAAATAGTCACAGGGGATTTCTAACAACAACAAATAATCCGTTCGAACCGAGCATTGCGCGAAAAATGACCAGAATATGAGACAGCATAAAGTGATCTTGCTTCATGACAACGCTCGACCTCACGTCACTAAGGCTGTCCAAGGAAACATTGGAAGCACTTCGCTGGAAAGTGCTACTCCATGCGGCTTATTCACCAGGCTGTGCCCCTTCCGACTATCACTTGTTTCGGTTGATGGCACACGCACTTGCAGAGGAACACTTTAACTCTTAAGAAAGCATCGAAAAATGGGTCTCAAACTGGATAGCCTCTAAAGATAAGTCGTTCTTTCGCCGTTGGATCCGCTTATTACTAGAAAGATGGGAAAAAGCCATATCTAACAATGACCAATACTTTGATTGATGTATTTTTTTCATTTGTTTCATGGCATCTTATATTTTTCTGAAATTGTCGCAAACGCTTAATATTATTCAAATTACCCCGCTGTACTCTATGGATGGTATTAGTATTAAATGCTCGACAATTTTTGTCCATACAAAAACTTAAAAATTTTGCGAAAGTAACGAGTAGAGGAAGGTGAAGTAAAAAAATTTGACATTTAAAAAAAATGAAATACGCCGTTGCAAAATGTATGAAATATTGTAGAACTTTTGTAGGAAACATTTTTTCATATATCTTTTTTCCTCATATCTTAGGAATTATTCAATAAAAATGAAAAGGTTAATTTTTTTCAAGGGACTGTTTTAACCCCTGAACCTCGAGATAAGCCGATATAAAAAATATGGGTCTCTTACTTTTTGATGCTCTACAATATATCCAAAGCACATCAAAATCGGTGAGGGAGCTCTGTCATGTCCCTTGTTAGCGTTACCCAGAAAATTAATTTCAGGGGGGACTGCAGCCCCCTAAGCTCTCCTCCCGGCTATGCTACTGACGTTCTCACTCACTCATAATTAGAGTATATAATTTACTGTGCGTGCATAAGTTACCTAATTAGAAAACCATTACCGAAGTTATTAAAGGAAATGCTAAGTAGTACTGCAGAAAAAGATTTTGGAACTTTTGCTTTGGCTGTCAAAGCAAAACTTAACTCAAATAAATTTTGAGTTAAATGTATCATAATGGAAATTATTAATATGATTAACGAGAAAATGTATAACTAAGCTTCATTTGTTACAGTGGAAATTTAAATAATGTTTTTGAAAGTATAATTATACTTGTCAATAATACCTGAGTATGTCCACCCCAAGCAGCAGCTCTAAGTGCAGTCCAACCATCGCAATCCGCATGATCCGCTCTTGCGCCAGCAATTAAAAGGACACGTACCACATCTGCATAACCATGTCTAGCAGCTAAATTTAATGGCGTTTGTCCATGTCGGTCAGACGTTTCTAATTTTGCCTATATAAATGATAAATTCGCTAAGAAACTGTTATAATAATATTATCAAATGAAATGATATTTATGATAAAAAATATACAATTGATAACCCTTACAGAAAAGTATTAATTAATTACTAAAGAAACAGTAATAATTAAACATTTTTCAGTGAATATTTAGTGAAATAATATATATGGTACATTTTCTATTAAATTTCCACTAATTTATATAATAACCTATTAAAATAACCTATTAGAATGAAATAATCTAATGCTTGATTATTTTGTTTAAATAATAAATTTAATATTTCACATTTTGCGTCGCTATGTGGTTTCGACCTTGTCATTCATCCTTGTCGAGCGGTCATTCATCCTTTCTCATTGCGTTATCCGCTGTTTAACCTGAATAATTGAAGTAAAACTCAGACCCTGGTAAAAAAAATTTATAGAGAACGATAGAATAAAAATAACCATTTTCTATCGTTTTGAATATAGATTTTGGTTCATGAGTTTACAAAATGTGAATAGTATTCTATCGTATACATTAGAATACAATAGATAGTGATAAATTTATATCTTTAGTTTCCTATAGAATATAAAATCGGGTATAATTAGATAAAGTACGATAGGATTCTGAACTTGCGAGTGTGAACAATATAACTTAAAGAGAACGATTCAAATTGGTAGAGCTATCATTTTTAATCTTTTCTTTAAGCTCGCAAGTTCAGATATAAATTCTATCATATTTTACCTTATCATATTATACCCAATTTTGTATTCTATAGGAAACTAACGATAGAAATTTTATCACTATCTATTGTATACGATAGAATACTATTCACATTTTATAAATTTACGAACCAAAATCCATATTCAAAACGATAGAAAATGATTATTTTTATTCAATTGTTCTCTATAAAGTTTTTACCTGGGTAGTGCTAATGAGCTGTGACAATACTTTATTGAATTATGATTATAATATGTTCTTGTATCGTTCAAACAACATCTAATGACATATTTATTGACAAATGTACAAACGTTATAATCGCAATTATTATAATCGTGAATATTATTAGCATTGCCGAAACGCTTCATGAAGAACCGTTTCGACCGCGCTACAGCAAGGCAGTGGATGTGCAAGTGCTGCGCTAAGCACCACCTTGTATATTCCGCCCCTCGGACTTTGAGCCGGAATGCACCGGACTATCATCAAATTTAGCAATTTTCTTGTTGCCAAGGCACTCTTTCCGATAAGACTAAGCAATATTATAAAAGAGCGGAGAAGACCGCCGACAACAGAATTACTACTCCGGTCTCTCGCCCGCGACGTACGTATCCGTCGCGCATTACTATAAGAATTCGGGAGTTTATAATAAAACAAATCAGTACAGGTTATAATAAAAGCCTTTTTATATAAAAACGTGGCTACATTCTTTTCTCACGAATCATTCCCACCGCTACACACCCTGCCGCGCTCGCAATATCGATCTCAAACTCTCTCTCTCGCGCCCCAGCAACAAGGGGCTCGACACAATGACAATCAAAATGCGACTGACTGTTATAATATACTATATCAGCAAACCCCATTAACGATATGATTACCTTTAGGAAAAAAAACTTTCAGAAAGTTATAGTTTTTGACAGTTACTATACAAATATTTACAGTTACTGTTGACGTTCGAAAATACTGTGCAATCATTTTTATGAATTGTCGGTACAATTATTGCCACTTATCAGTAACTGTCAGCGTTTGATAGTTTTCTAAATTTACTAGAAAATGACAACATTCAGAAGTACTATTGGTCTACAGTAGTTTGCCGGAGATATAAAGTTATTATAATTTTAAAAAGTCCTTTCTCTGATAATTACTATTAATGTACAATCGTTCACAGTATTGTTTAAATTAATTTTGGCAAACAGTTTGTGACAGTAACGACTCCACAAATACTCTTCACAACAATCGCACAACAAAACTGAAATGAACAATATGGATAAGTTGTAAAAGACATAAATTACATGTACAGCTGATATATTACAGATGTATTCTGTAGTTAGCCCTAACAAGTATTTTGACAGTTTTGTTGATGTTTCTTTGAAACTATGCGATTTTAACAGTTTCCCTTACAGAAAATATTACTGACAATAGTAAATAGATCAGCAATAAATTTTTACTGCTCAGTTTTATTATTCGTACTCATAATAATTTTTACTGACATATTTATCATAGCCAGTAATACTTTTTGTAAAGGGCCCTTACAGCATCGAACATTGCAGTAAGATTATGGGTAGGTTACAAGCTTACATATTTTAATGAGTATGTTACTGCAATCTGCCATTAAGCTTACAAGAAAACCTTATATTATAATATTACCAAAATTAATATAATCTTTAATATTTCAGCAAATTCACGTGTACTTATTTCACTTTTTGTATATCCTGAAAATATTATGCAATATATAAAAAATTTGTTTATTAAAAATATAAATATAACAAAATTAAGTTAAAATATTATTAATGAAATTAACTCTAGGTATTCACTGCTTCAAATGCTTTGAAATATCGTAAAGATTAATATTCATCCTTCAGTCAGCGCTCTAAAGCGTTCAACACCTAGATAAATATATTTTACACAAATATTTTATACATATACATTTGACTTTTCTTTTATTATATGAAACATTTGGACTAAATAATTTATTTTTATAATTGTATTAAATAATATTATAAAAAAAGTTAAAATTACTGCTTCGCGGCTGCATATGAAGACAATAAGAAACACCAAATATCAGTTGAAGAAATAGCGCAGCAGCTAAGGTGATAGACTAGAAACCTGGAGGTATCTGCAGTTCTCGAGTTCGCGTCCGACTAGTACTGAGTAAATTTTATTGTGTGAAATAGTGAGAAAACAATTAAAAGACCTAAATTTCATTTAAAATTAACATAATTTACATTCTTTACATAACAATAATGAATAATTTCATAACTTTTAGATAAAATTTTCCGTTTCTTTGCACATATAGAATACATGTGAATAGAATAGTATAGAATAGCCAAAAATAAATCTTAAAAAAGTCTTCACAATTTTGTAAAAAAATCACGAAATTATAAAAATTCGTTACTTTTATGTAACCATTACGGTAACGAATTATTTTTTCAATGGATAACGAGTAATAGTAATAAATTACTTTTATTAACGAGAAACAGTAACGTATTACTCGTTACTCTAGCTTGCGCTATTCCTCCTTATCTCACCTCTGTGAAGTTAGCTCCCACTTTTAATAAAAAATTTTCTTTTTACATAAAATTACGCCAAATCGTTTGTAGAAATATGTAGTGAAAGACTTTTCGTTTGCAGTAAAAAAATAAAAAAGTTACGGGGGGTGACCCCCCGCATGGGTTCCCACCTTGTCGTTGGTGGTGGGGCTGTGGCTGCGGTCGGGGCATCCGCTCAGGGATGTTTTCCGGCCGCAGTCATCTAAGAGGAACCCCCCAAGCCAAGGTGTTAGCAACCGTGCTGAGGGCTGCGTGGCACAGGGGGAGCTGTGTCATGAACGGTGCCTCCCGGATACCGGGCGACCTCCGGGAGTACGCTACCGAGCCCCGGGCAATCGCGGCTCTGCCCGGGTGAGATTGCGCGACCGCGGTACTCGTGGGAACAAGTATGGACACAGGTACAAACAAAAGCAAAAAAATAGATAACCTTCTCCAGGGGTTGGCTTCTTTAGGAAGTGAACCTAGAGAAGGAGAAAACGACGCGGCACCGAGTACCGATGCTCGGTCCGATTCCGCGGCAAGGAAACTCGCAGAGCCACGCCCGAAAATGAGTGGGGCTGCGAGAAGAAAGCTGAAGAGACAGCGGGCGAGGGAGAGGGCTGAAGAGACCTCTGAATCGGATGCTGCCTTTGGAGGCGTAACAGAAGCTCGGGGGGAGGCGGGTCCATCAGGGACGCAAAAGCGCCCCAGACCGGATCTCGCGACTCCCAGCCCTTCAGAAAAACGCCTGAACAAGAAGCCCAAAGTCAGTGACCAAGGGTCCTTTGCACAGGCGACTAAAGGAATAATCAGGGTGGCACTCATTATTGAGGGTTACCCTGAAAACAAGATCAAACTCGGGGAAATAGCCATTATTAAAAAACTGATCAGGGAAAGGATCCTGGGACTTCCAAGAGGCACCAGGGCTCCCCTCTTTACCGGAGTTTGGGAGAGAGACGGGGCAATCATTTGCGGTTGCGCCGATGTAGAATCCGCGGACTGGCTGAAAAGCCTATCCTCGGAGTTAAAACTAGGGGAGAATGAGCTACGTGTGCTGCCGCTTTGAGGAGCTTCCGAAGCGCCACAGGCTGGTAGTACACCTGGAGGAGCCGGATTTGGATGTCAAGGAGGCGTTAGAACTCCTTGACAGACAAAACGGAGGACTGGCAGCCAGCGAGTGGGTTGTCGTCAGGGGGAGCGAGAGCAGGGACGCCGAAAGCGCCCACTTCGCTGTTCTTGTCGGCGACTCCTCTCTGAAGGCCCTAAAGGACTGCGGAATGAAACTCTTCTGCGGGATGGGCCGGGCAACTGTAAGGTTGACTGGCAAGGAACGCGGAAGGGAGGTGGAAAACGCTGGAACGAAAGAGTCTGCATAGAAAAGACAGGTCTCAAAGTTCCAGTGGTGCAGATTAACTTGCATCACAGCAAAGGCACCTCAGCGATTTTAGCTAGGGGCTGTGATGCAGACAGCAATAGCACTTGTACAAGAACCATGGCTCTTGAACAACGCTATAAAAGGCCTGAGCGGTAGTGGCAAGATTATCTCGTCCACCACTCAGGGAAAAATAAGGCCATGTATAGTGACAAAAGGTCTAAATGCAATCTTTGTGCCGCAGTTCAGTAATGGAGACATCACGGTGATACAAGTGAGGCTTAATCTGGACGAAGGGACCCACGGGGATGTATTGATGGGGTCAGTCTACATGCCCTATGACGCCAAAGACCTTCCACCACAGAGGGAAGTCAAGGAGCTGATGAAATATGCGGAGG